ATAAAAGAAAATAAAAAATAATATTAGTTGCAAACGAATAACTTTTTAAAAATAATATTTTTAACACCATGAGCAAAACACTAAACCTTAAACCCTAATCATAAACCCTAAACCCTTGGGTAAACCCTAAACCCTTGGATAAATCTGTGATTTAAATATTTTTGATACTGACACCAAAACACTAAACCCTAAATTCTAAACCCTAAACTCTAAATCCTAAACCCTAAACCCTTGGATTAATCAAAAATGTTATGGTTTAAAATAAATCTAAGGGTTGAGGATTTATCCAATGGTTTAGGATTTAGAATTTAGGGTTTAGTGTTTTGCTGGGGGTAGTAAAATTATTTTTTTTAAACGTTTTTTATTTATAACTACTATTATTTTTTATTTATGTCTTTTAATTTTAAAAACATAATATAATTCGATAATATTTTGTTTCTTTTTTTAAAAGATACAGAATCTATATAATAATAGTACACTTTTGAAGCTTTTCAGCGTGTCCACGTCAGCAAGTTTGCGGGTCCCGCGCGTATTATTAGAGAAAACAAAAACGTATAACATTTTGTAAGATTGAATGTTATCGATGAGTGATGAAATGGCTCAGTGGTGTAAGTTGGTGACAATAAGTTGGTACCGTGAGTGCGCGGGTTTGAAACGTAGTGCTTGCATGTAATTTTTTTATTTAAAAATTTGGGCTTTTTGGGATACCTAAAAACTTAGGGAGATTCAGAATGATTTTTATGCTGGTTGTTCGGATACAAAATGGCTTAAGGATTTGCAACTTTATGAGACCATCTTAGATACTTTTATAAGAAAGGTTATCATGTTCTAACCTCCAATATCATTTTAATTCAGTTATAATCATCAAATAAAATAAAAACATATTTTTCAATAATAAATATTTACCACAAACCATTCAGATCGACCATAAATCTCATATACATCACAATTTTTAAAAAAATATATATATATATGTACAACATAATTTCAGAAAGAAAATTACACTAATAAACACATGTCCTTTTTTGTCTTGTTTCCATTAAATTATTTTTTTACATGAAAGCACTAATAACAGTAATACTCGATAAAATCACTAATAAAGGAAATGCTCGATAAAATTACTACGAAGATAAAACATAAAAATATCAACCCATATGAATTCGTATGTTTAATCTTTTATCAGACTAATCAAGTTGTGTGACTTCTAATATTTCATTCATCACCATTATAGATAAGCCAGATAAACAAATGTTAAAGAAAAACAGCAAAGTCTCATACACAGAACTACACAACATATCAACGACGTATCCAACCCTCGCGCTTGCGCGGGGGACTATGCATCTAGTATAAACAATGTAACCCTAGGGGGTTAACCTAAGAATTTCTCTTTTAACATTTTTACAGGATAGACGTTGACAAATAATAGTATCTTCCCAGATAATGTCAAACTATACACTGAGATAGATGATGAGTTCCCGGTTAAAATATAAGAATTGAAATTTTTTGATTTTAAATCTCGTGAAGGAGTTAAATATAGAGATGTTTCTAGCTCTCCATAAACAACACACAACTCTGAAACAAAACTGCAGAAGCAAACATGTCCAAACCAAATTAAAAGGCAAAATGTGTGCATTTATAGTAATCTTTTCCACCAGCAACTAAGCATAACCATTAAAAGGCTTGAAATGTAACATACAGAGATGGAATCACTGTTTGTATTTATGGAAAATCGGACATCTCTGAACTAAAATTAATTACTAAAAACTATTTCCGTCTGAGATAACTAGCAATCATTTCGTTGTGCCCATCGTTGTAAGCAACCACAACCAACCACATCAAACTGAGGCTGATGAACTGAAATTCAAAATTCTGCCATTTTCCCAATTAGTTAACAGTCTTGGTTAGAGTTTTTTGCTTCGCCATCTTTATCTCAACCTCACAACTTCCACCTCCCCTTCAACAGTATTCAAACCCTCTCTTTCTTCCAGAGACTTCTCCTTTTGTTCGAGTTCATGATCAGCAATACCAAACCTCACCGGCTTTTTTGGCTTGAGTTTCTTATTATTCTTTAACTGAAACTTCACAACCTTGAGTGGTTTTGACCTTCTTTCTAAGCCATAAGGCTTTGCCATCTATTCCTCTTGAAACTTAGGGATTTGTCAACCCTCCTGGCTCTGTGAAAGCAATGGGTACCACATCACTCTCTCCCCCTTATGTTGTTAATGCACATAAGAAAGTAAATTACTCATAAGTACAAAAATGAACAGGCTCCCAAAACAGCAAATCCAAGTAACATTCATTACAATCAAACACATACCATCTGTCTTTTCATGGGTCCGAGAGTATTGTCAAAGCTTAGCATCTTAACCAATGCAGTTACTATACCAGGTATAATCTTTCTGCCTTTGTTTCCTTGATCAATCCAGAGATTGAACAGTGCTGTCGCAGTTGCTGTCGGGGTCCCATTCAAGAGAAGATCCACTAAAGCAGGCATCACACAGCCTATTATGATATTGTTCTCATCAGCTCATGGAAGTCAAAATAGTGTCGCTGGTGAGTTTTCTCTTTCTTCGATGGTTCCAGCTCTAAGGACTTGAACTATTGAAGCGACTGCACCAGCAAAAAGATATCAGATATTTGTTGTTGTCATACAGAGAGGTTGATGACGCAGATTCTTGGGTTGGAACTTCCTATGAGGTAAAAAGGTTCCTGCGTAAAAAAAAAACAGAATCGCTTATCCTATGAGCATGTGTTTAATATTAGTATATTACTATGAATATGAGTTTAATAAAAAAATCACTTTTAAGAAGATCTGAAGTGTAAGAAACCTATAAACATGAGTTAAGAACATAATCACTAACTATGAACATGAGTTTAAGAACAGAATCATGACTTTAATAAAGATTTGAAGTTTGAATGAGTTTATGAACATAATCACTTTTGAGCCTAGTAAGAGCATATCCACCCATCAGCTCGCCACGGCGTTGGCGTTTGATATTCATGGCTTCCCAGAAACTGAGCAGTCTCAACTTAAGTGGAAGAGCACACGACCTGACTTCAAACCAAAGAGAAGGCTTGCTGAGTTAGCCATTTTACAGAAATTAAGTTGTTTATTTTTTGTTTCCTCAACACATTTCTGTTTGATATTTTTGTTGTTTTTACAGTGGTTCTTGTTTCTGGAAGAGACAAACAGATATATGCTAGAGTCACATCTCCTGTTTTTCATCTTGCTCTATTGCTGAAGGAGGAGCCTTGTTGAGTATAACTCACACCCTTAAAACACCTCATGTTTCCTATGATTTATCCATTTTATGATACTTTTAGGTTTGTCTATCCACAAATCCAAATTTGGGTTCTCAAAATAAGATCACAGCATCAGACACCTTTTCATCAAACCCAACCATACAATGGGCTATTAGGTCTGCAAATTAAGTCAGACTTTTATTCTTGTGGTCTTCTTTACTGAATGTTTATTTTCTGTATGTTTGTGAATTTACAGATGTCTTTAGAACCATAATGAAAGAGGAAGGACCTGTTTCACTGTATAAAGGTATTGTTCCTGGTCTTGTGCTGGTTAGTTACTATCCTGATTTTTTTTACTGAAGCATCAGTTAGCGATAAAAGATGTTCTGGATGGAATGGTTAACCATTGTTTCATTTTTGGTTGGTTTGATTCTGATTTAGTTTTCTCAGCAGGTTTCACATGGTGCTGTTCAGTTAAGCGTATATGGGGAACTCCGTAAAGTTATTGTAGATTCAATAGAGAAGATAAGAAAATCTGAATCCGCTGATAATTTATGGTAAATAGTTCCTCTTCTCCATAGTCTATATTGTGATTGTTAGGTAATATTTTTTTTGCGTTTCTTTTTTAGAACTCGGCGGATTATGCTACCTAAGGCGACTCCTCCAAAGTTACAGCAGTTCTTTTTACATATCCATTCTAAATCAAAAATATGAACAACTTTAGAAATCGATATAGTTGTCTTCTAACATCGTTGAAAAAGAATGTGAAAAAGCTGACGTTTTGTTAATTTTTACAGCCCAATAAACATAATTTGAAGTTCTAATATTCTGTCTTGAAATCCAAATAGAACTCTAACGAAAGAAAAAAATAATCAGACACTTGTCAACGTTTCTCATCTTAATTAATGAAGTGGTACTCCAAAAGGGAGGAGAAGCCTTCTTTATATAATAAGAAGATTATTAATTTATCATCAAATTGATGTTATATCTGGTAGTCAATAACCAGTTATACGTATTTAAGGAACACATTCATTTCCCACCATTTCTCCAACCATACGAATAGTCGTAATTATTCGTACCGCAGACTTTGCAACTTCCCCCGCAGGCTTAACGCTTTTTGATACTTAAACCGTTAAACGATTCAAACCCAAAATCAAAGACTCCGATCAAATAATAACCGAGCAGGCCGTTAGTCGGCCCATTTATCAGCTAATGGATGTTAGCACTTAGCAGCATGAAAAGACACGTGGCTGGTGGAGAGCAGAAGTCGTCTTCCGCATCCGACACCTGTCAACTTTACAGTGGATCTCTTAACTTTAGTTTTATACCACTTTCGCATTCGTCAGATTCAGTTTCTCTTCACGTTCCAAATTTGAAGCCACTCTCTAACACAGATATTCACAAGGTAAGCCTATCCGATCTGATCTTTGCTTGTATCATTCTGTGAATCGATCTGATCATGTCTGTGTTCTTCTCAATCTGTGATGGATTCAAGTGTGTTTAATTTGAATCAATTGAATGAGTTTTAGGGTTCGTAATTTTTTTATACTCAGATCGAAGATGCAGAGCTTGTTTGATTCAATGATATTTGATTGTATCATTCTGTGATTCGATCTGATCGATTCGCCAAATTTCGCTGAGGGACATGTATGTGTGATAGCTTCGCCATTTAGGGTTCGTGATATGTTTCTGCTTCGTGTTTCAGTAGCTCTAAACTTTGTTCGCTTTGATTGATTTACTCTACAGATTAAGCGAAGATGTCTTCATCACGTGAAGAGAATGTGTACATGGCGAAACTAGCCGAACAAGCGGAGCGTTACGAAGAGATGGTTGAGTTCATGGAGAAAGTTGCTAAAACCGTTGACTCTGAAGAACTCACTGTCGAAGAGAGGAACCTTCTCTCCGTTGCTTACAAGAACGTGATCGGAGCGAGGAGAGCTTCGTGGAGGATCATCTCTTCCATTGAGCAGAAGGAAGAGAGCAAAGGGAACCAAGAACACGTTGCTCTCATCAAGGACTACAGGGGGAAGATTGAAACCGAGCTTAGCAAAATCTGCGACGGGATCTTGAATGTTCTTGAAGCTCATCTCATCCCCTCTGCCTCACCTGCTGAGTCTAAGGTGTTTTATCTGAAGATGAAGGGAGATTATCATAGGTATCTTGCTGAGTTTAAGGCTGGTGACGAGAGGAAAGATGCTGCTGAGAGCACTTTGGTTGCTTACAAGTCTGCTCAGGTTTAGTGATTCTTCTTCCCTAAGTAATATAACATTCGATTGATTTTGTTTCTTGTTGTTTCATTTCCTGTAATAATGTGCTGCAGGACATTGCCACAGCTGAGTTAGCTCCAACTCACCCAATCAGGCTTGGTCTTGCACTCAACTTCTCTGTGTTTTACTATGAGATCCTTAACTCGCCTGACCGTGCCTGCACCCTCGCTAAGCAGGTTTGATTTTTCAAACCATCTTCTTTGACCTCTGTTTTTTTCCATGTCAAATCTGTCTTAGTGTCTTGTTAACTTTTTGAAAACTTGTATGGGCTCTAATGGTTGTACAGGCATTTGATGAAGCTATCGCTGAGTTGGATACATTGGGAGAGGAATCATACAAAGACAGTACGCTGATTATGCAGCTTCTCAGAGACAACCTCACTCTCTGGACTTCAGACATGACTGTAAGCCTTGAGACAATGCTATATTATTCACTGTGTATTTTGAGGGCGTATTAGTTCTGTAATTGACGATGATGGTTTCTTTGTGGGTTGATAGGACGAAGCAGGAGATGAGATCAAGGAGGCATCGAAGCCAGAAGGCGGCGCAGCAGAGTAAAAGCTGTGAAGAAGAGGAAGTCGTTTTATAATGGGTAGAAACTTCCTTATGTGATAATCTGAGTGAAGGATTAAGCTCAGGATTCTTATCAGATACTCTTTTTATTTGAGTTTGTTTCTTTTGTTTGTTTGGGAAACAATTTGAAAACTGTTTTTGAATTTGCCATTGATTTCTAGAAATTTCCACAAATGATCCTCTAGTAATTTAGTGTGACAATAATAAGTTGAATTTTTTACATCAATAGGCATTTTATCACTTTTCAGTTACATCTAAAAGAACAATGCATTTTTGCAAGGCATTTTTCATAGGAATTAATAAAAAATTGACGTATTTTCTTTCCTAAGAGAAAAGAAAAAATGTGTTTCTATAATTATTTATTCTATTTCTTAATATTTCATTTTTTTATTTATAAATTAAAGATACATTTAAAAAAGATTTTGGTATGACAAATTATATACTTTTTTATTCTCTATTGTTGATATCTATTTTAATATGATTTTTTTTGTTATATTTTAAAATCTATACATGTATAAGTATCCAATGATTATGTTATGGATGAGCGATATGTGGATGTTTAAAAAACGGAAATAACTATATATAGATATATAAGCGTGAAAGAATATATGTGGATGGGTGTTTATGGTTTCATCGGTCTATATATCCCTTTCCCACACATCATAAATCCACACATCATCCATTTACGCATCACTCATTAACTGCTCACATATCACTCGATAACACATCACTCATCCATGTATCACCCATTAACAACAAAAACATGAATGACTACATATAAACATATCAGAGGCGACCCTTGGACCAAGCCAAGGAAGTACTGGCTTCCGGCCGATTTATTATAACATCAATTTCGGCCACAAAATTTCATAAAATCCCTTTGATCTAATGGTAAATTATCATGGCTACAAACTTCTCATGCCCCCAACCTAGGTTCAAGACGTAGACATAAGTCTTTTTTTAAAAAAAAATTGTTTCTAGCCTAAAATTTTCTAGGACCGGCTCTGAAACATATAAACATGAAATGGTATATGTACATGGGTGTTTATGTTGTATCATATAATGTTTTACCCATCCACACATCATCCGTCTATATATCTCTCGTCCACGGATCATCTGCCCATATATTACCCATCGATACATCACCCATTCACCTGTCTACATATTCATCATCTATGTATCATCCATCCACTCTGAAACATATAAACATGAAATGGTATATGTATATGGGTGTTTATGTTGTATCATATAATGTTTTACCCATCCACACATCATCCGTCTATATATCTCTCGTCTACGGATCATCTGTCCATACATTACCCATCGATGCATCACCCATTCACCTGTCTACATATTCATCATCTATGTATCATCCATCCACATATCACTCATCCACGCATCAATCATTAAGTGTAAAACTGTCCACAATATGTCTATATCTTACAAAAAAGTGTCTTACATGTAAAAAATGGTTCTAAGTATAAAAAAAGTGAAAAATAACCTTAAATGTAATCAACTCAATTTTATTCAGTAATGTATATATTATTGGAAGATTTTGACGGTTGGGATGATTTGATTGTTTTTTACTTTCAAGATTTTACTGTTGAGACTTTTAATTATAAGTTGACTGTTAAAACTTTTAGTTTTTAAAACATTGAAATGGATTTAGAAATTATTAATAACCTAAATTTGTGGCTTTGAGAAAAACAAATCACGTTAAGAACAAAGTTAGTTATTTTGGCTTTGAGAGATTTTTAAGAAAGACTTTAAGATTTTAGAGAATTTAAAGTCTGATCGGTAAAAATCAAACTTTAAAGAACATAGAAATGAGGTAAAGTTTCTAAAGCCATCAAAGTCAATATCACAATCGGACTTAGTCTTAGGTATTGGAGTTTCAGTTTGTTGCGTTCCATCCATTTTGAGAGAGATTATGATTGTTTTCTGACAAATGTGCTTTACTATTCATTATCTTTGTTTAGAAAAGCCTCCAAAAGTGAGGTCAATCATGGAACAATATTGAATACTTAGCATAAACGATTTTCTAGCTAGTGAGTCTGCTACTTTATTATATTACGAAGTGTTTTCATGCGCTATATGTAACAAAGAATTTTTTAGATTTAGATTATATTTAAAAAGGAAATTTGTTAATTTTAAATTTTATTATTTTATTATTTTCATACTAATATTTTAATGAAAATTTTAATTTAGTTAAACATAACATTAAGTTAAAATAAGAATATTTTTTAGCAAATTTGATTCAAAACTTAAAGTCAAACATAAAATTAATCTTTTTTTTTTGTTCTATTCATCCCACATGTTCACATTATTTACGAAAATACCATTTATTTTTTTTTCCTTTCGAAAATCATTTTTTTCACTCTCTCAACTTCATCATCTTCAAGTACTTACAAGATTGCCATTCTCATCAATATCCCAACCACCATGAACAACCAATTTAAAGCTCTTAGTGCACCTAAAATCAATTTACACTCTATTTCTCAATTATTATGAACTAAAAACAACATCTCTTTCACTTTGTCCATATTCAGCCAAAAAACTCAAGCTTTTGATTCCATTTTTTTATGATTGATAGAGCCATTCAAACATACTATTCTTGGTGGTTTACTTTCGTTTGAGGTTCTAGGTGGTTGGAGAAGATTATGTGTGCTAAAGAAGTCATCTCACTAGTTTAAGGTATGAAATTTTTTTTTCCAGATCTGTTCGTATAGAAGACTTACCCGTAAGTCGTCTGGCTGTAGAAGACTTACAGGTAAGTCGTCTGGCTGTAGAAGATTTAAGGGCAAGTCTTCTGGTCAAACGAATTACTTACTTGTAAGTCGTCATCTTTGTTTGTTAAAAAAAAATCTAGGGAATACCCTAGACGACTTGCCAGGATAAACATGTTAGTTTTGCATTTAATCGAATTGTGTCAGATATTTGACTTTTCCTGGACGACTTACCAGTAACAAACAATTTCAATATTTTATTAAAGCGAGACGATTTACCTGTAAGTCGTCTCAGGTTAAATTTGCAATTGGCAAATAAAACTTAAATAATTAATTTTTCCCATACGACTTTCAAATAAGACGTCTAACTGGATGACTTTCAAGTAAGTCGTCTGGGAAAAGTTAAATATTTACGTTTTATTTTTGAATTGTAAACTAACCTGAGACGATTTACAAGGAAATTGTCTTGCTTTCATAAAATATTGAGTTTTTTTTTATTTATTTTCCCAGAGACGACTTACTGGTAAGTCTTCCAGGAAAAGTCAAATATCTGACATAATTCGGTCAAATGCAAAATTAACCTGTTTATCCTCGACAATTCGGCCAATTCGTCTAGAATTTTTTTTTAACAAGCAAAGCTGGACGATAATTCGATCAATTGCAAAACTAACATATTTGGACGACTTACTGGTAAGTCGTTTAAGTCTTCCTGACGACTTACTGGTTTGTCGTATGCGTCAATATTTAGTAAACTTTTATTTTCTCTATGTTTACTAATGTGATTTATTTTGAATTTTTGCAGATAATGCGTCAGTTACATGTAGTGCATGGAGAATGATTGTTGAAAGATTGCTGTTGGGATTTCGTGGTTGATTATTTCAAAGGAGCAAGAATGATTTTTTGAGTGAAGGTTCGACACATGCTGAACTTGTTGCAATGACTCAAGAAGATTATAACCTGGAAATGAGCACAAAGTCTGTGGAGATAACTTACTCATTACCAGCAGTTGCAACAGATGGCTCCATACACTCCTCCTATTCATGTTACAAATGATAGACAAGTTCAAAACTTTCTCAAGATAACCAAAACGCATGAAGTACGGCTTTGTGTATCAAGCCGTAGCAAGGTGGAAACGGTTTCAGAAGAAAGGGAAGAAGATGATGAAGCTGATGAGTGTGTTGAAGATGATGATGATGATTTGGTTGAAGATGAAAATCATGATGGGGAAGAGGATGATGGGGAGGAGGATGATGGGGAGGAAGATGATGGGGATGCTGATATCTCTATTGGTGCTGAAGCGGACGAGAATGGTGAAGATTACAGTGTTTATGGAAAGATTAAAGATAAGGATGAGGAAGAAGATGATGATATGTGTTTTAAAGATTTCAAAGAGACATATGCTATTGAAGGAGGAAGATCGAATGGTAACAATATCTATGTCAACCAGAGTTTTGTTAGAAAGGATGCACTGCTTTCAGAGCTGCGGTTGACAACAGTGAGGCGTAGGTTCTTCTTTAGAATATACAAGTCAACGAAAACTCTCCTTGTGGCAACATGTCGGGTTAGTGGCTGTGGATGGAAGATCAGAGCGAGTGTGAAACATGGGACAAACACGTTTTAGGTAACAAAGTATGTGGAAACACATACATTCTCAGAGGGAGACCAAATTGCTCAGCAAAGACACTATACTCCGAAGTATGTTGGTAAGCTTTTCATTGATCGTGTTGGAATCATTGATGGGTTGAGTCCGCGTCATATCACTGATGCAATGAAGAACATGTTTGGCATGACGCTTGATTACACCACTTCATACAGAGCACTGTTATATGCACAAACATTGGTGAGACGATGAGCAGAAGATAGGTATTCGCGTCTGCCATCACATCTCGACCAAATCTCCTTAGCAAATTCCGATTATATCACGGCTATATAACTTGATTTTGAGAATATCTTTAATTATCTATTTCTCTCTTTTAAAGCTTCTATCAAAGATTTTAAGTATCAGAGAAGGGTCATTGTGGTGGATGAGACTCACCTAAGTGGAAAGTATGGAGGTGTTATGATAGTTGCAGCCGCACAAAATGAGAATTTTCAGATATTTCCATTGGCTTTTGGAATTGTAGATGCTGAAGATGAACCTTCTTGGGAATGATTTTTCACAAAATTGGCTAGTTGTGTATCTGATGAGCAGCATTTGGTGATAGTCTCCGACCAGCACACGACCATTAAAAGTGTGTGTGATAAGGTATTTCCTTGGACAACCTCAGGAATATGTTATTATCACCTTCAAGATAACATTGTCAGAAAGTATGAAGGGAAACATCTCTTGTACTTGGTGGAAGGTGCTGCTTATGCTCATACAGTTTCAGATTTTGACCGGTATATGGCTGAGATACAGAGTGCAAACCCGGACCTTGCAATGTATTTGGATAATGCTGACGTCAGCCTATGGTCAAGGGTTTATTGTCAAGGGGACA